TCCCTAAGAGCTTAACTCATTCAAGAGATAGCTAAGAGATAACTCATTCAAGGCCAGGGTGGGTTAGAAATAAGTGTCCTCAACATGGGGGAACTGCCCCAGCACTGGAAAGCAGCAGAGGAAACAGTTGACTCTGCTTGTCCTCTGGCAACCTCGACCCTCTCTTCCCATCCCAGTACACACGGTAATGAAAACAAACAGAGCAATTGTCAGGAAATAAAACAGCATTTTGTAATTTTGCTTTGGAGAGATGACACTGACAGAATTTTAAATTTTTAAATCAAATCCAAGATCATAAGAGAAGACAGATGCTCTCATGCTGACTCTCTCTCTGATCCTTGTCCAAATCCTGTTTTGTTTTCTCTGACTTTTATGCCTTCATGGATGTATGATAACAAACTACTTGGAATTCCACAGGAGAGGTGAGCTTTAGATTTAAAGTCCTTAAGCCCTATATTAAAGAGGAACATCTGTCCAAGCACACCAGGTTATTTTAGCTAAGGCTGTATGTTGAAGACTGACATTATATTTAGCACTATCTTCTTTTTTAAAAAAAAAGTCCAAACAAGAACAACAGATTTCTGAACTCACCAGACTTTCAGGTATTTTGTAATGGCTTTGTGTGACAGCTGTTGGCATCCCTTGTTTCTGCCATAAATCTGTTCCAAATTCCAATTGGGCTATTCAAGGTGAAGTTACTGAACTTTCTTAAGATAAGGCTTCAGAAATACTTTGGCTTAATGAATATTGCTAAGCGTATCAAGAATTAAACACTCTAATATTTAAAAGGATAGGAGATACTACCTTTATTCAGTGCAATACAGTTTGTTTTTTTCCCAAAATAAGTTGATATTGCATTTGAACAGGACTTATATTTCTATTTGTGCTTCTGAATGAGACTTTATGTTCTGATAAACACTTTACAGGTACTTAATACAACACATGAGCAAATAATAACACAAAGAAAAATAGAGTTACAGAGCCTTCTGAAGAGCATAATCCTAGGATACCTTTGTGTCCTACCACTTCAGATTAAAAAAATAAATAAATCATGACATCTTCAGAAGTTGAATTCCAGGTATACACATTCATTTTCTTCTATGCTGACACATTAGGAATCAAATTTTATTGACATCAAGCTTAGTTTCTTGCCATGAAACTGTATTTAGATATATGTAGACACGTATTCAATAGACTCAGATAAATGCAAACAAACATGAAAATGCACATACCCCCCTCCCACCAAAAACACACACATATATATACACATACATGCATTCCTTATCAAAGACTGATTTAATATTTTTAACTTATTTGTCACTCCTCTCCAATTTCTGTCTTCAAACTTTCTTGGTGAACTGAAAGGCTCTACTTCTTTAATACTTTACTTAACACTCATTGTTAAACTAACTACCTACCTAAAAGTAGAAATTGCTAGTTGGACATGAAAAACACTGCTACTGTGTTAAGTTTTGAATCAACTCTAATGAAAAGCAAGTAGTGTTAAATGGTTTTCATGAGTGTTGGAACAAATAAACTGGGCCTCATTTTTCCTCAGTCATAAAATAGAAAGGGCTGTGTCTTCTATGCTGTATGCCACAAAACAGTGTATCAAAAGCAAAGAATTATTCTGCCCAGCAGAGCACAAATATGTAAAACCAAGTTAAAGATAGAGCTTGTGAGCTGCTCTGACTAGTAGTTAACGCAAGAGAAAACAGCCAACCCTAGCAAAATTAACAGATACATATAAGCAGAATCTTCTAATGCTGTTAAGAAACACAAAGACTCTTAAATCTAGAGCTGTTTCTTCTTCCTAACAACAAGACATAGCTAATAAGTTTTAATGAAGAAATAACAATGTCTTAAGGTTCACCTCTAGCACTCCAGATGCCTGCAAACTGAACCAATGATTTGGAAAAAGAGCCCTGCCTGACTTGGCTTGGACAATGTTGGCAGCAAAATTGAGATTTAGCTTCACTGAGAAATTTAAAACTACTGATGCTGAGAAAAAACGGGAATTCCAGCCCTCAAAAACTTAAAATGCAAAGCAAATAGCAAATATAAACAGAACTGATTGGTATGAAGAGTAACAGGTTGTTTAGAGGTGATGACTGCAGCTCTGGTGTGTGTATATGTATATACACACATATATATACATACAGGTATGTATATATATGGTGTAGTTAACGTGCTGCTGTATTCAAGGTTAATGTAAAAATGAGAGAAATTAAAAGAATAAAACCATTGGTAATACAAACTCTTGTTAAATAATAAGTGTATTAGAACTCTTAATGAGGAAACAAGAAAGCTGCAAGGGCTGAAAAGTTTGTCTATGGAAGCAACCCACAGACAGAAAAGTTGTGATAGATCATCCTCCTGCTTTCAATTTTAAGCAAAAGAAGCAAAATATTTGCCTTCAGAACGTGGTATGACTTTACAGTCATATCTACCTAATTGAGAAGTACTGCTAAAACAGATCACCCAGCTTCTCCTCATCTAGCAGTCCTGTGAACTACCTCTTTGCCTGTGTCTTTATGGCTCTCCATCTTTAGGCCAAGCTTGATGTTCATTTTACCCCCTGGGGAGCTGATTCACCAGCTCACCCAGGTGAGCTTAAAACTATGGTTAATTTTCTGCTGCATGCTTCCCCAGACCAGCTTGTTACAGTATTGGACAAACTCCAAAGCTGGCCCAAGTGAAGCCGTGAGAACACACAGCCAGAGGAGGGATGAAATGACTCTTTCAAAAACAGCTAAGTGTTAATTCAACTTATTGGTAACACCAACCTAATTTTTCAGGGTCTGAGAACAAAAGCTGAAGCAGACAAAGATTGGCAAAATGTGTGAAGAGAAGATGGGTAAATAGGGACTTAAAAATGCTAGTGTAAAGACTGCAGACAACCAAAGACATAAGAAATCTCGAGTTGTCAGTAAACCTGCAACTTAGTTTTACTAGCCTTTTCTGAGTGATCAGCAACTTTGAATTTGGATAATGACTTCTGAGGACAGATAGCACCCCCATAACCAAATCATAAGGGTGAGGCTTCAAGCAAGCCAACCTAAAAGCTTAGCAGCTGTGAAAGAGATGGCCACGTGCTGCCTTTCCTGCCACTGCATCCCACTTCCTTCTTTCATTCTCTAAGCTGCTGATGAGTCAGGTCAGTTCCCTGACATGGAAGGAAAGAAAAAATAGAATTACTTTGTTCATTGCTGTCACAGTTTGACTCATTGTTGTTTGACAACAATGCTCTCGATCCCCCCTCCCGCCTCTGTGTTACTAAGAGTTGTATGAACAGGCACAAAGGAGAGAATCACACAAGTGGGGGTAAAAAAAGAAAATGAAGTCCATATACTGCCATTTTGGAAGCAGCAAGCTATCAGCATGACTCAGTGCTCTCATTAAAAGCCACCTAATAATATATGCTAACTGGATGACAGAGGAACATACAAGCTACATCATAGTTTAGACATGTCTATCTTTATCTTCCCTGAAATCTTTACATTTGAAAACTTGCTTAAGAATCATTAACTGCTGTATATCTCAGATAAAAATAAAACTGAGAACATTTCCCATTTTAATAAGCAATGGTCTCATCGTGTTTCCTTCAGAAGCCAGAAGGAAGCATGTTCCTTACTGGTCAGAACTGAAGAGCCAAATCTCTACTTTTCCACAGCACAGCAAGTAGACTCTTTAAATTCTTAAATGTTCAGCTTCCATTTTTCAGCTACTACAGGAAACCACATGCAAAATGACCTCGATGCTTTCCTTCCTCTTTCAAAATATTTAATAAATGTTTTATAATTTACAAAGAACAAAAAAGTATTTTCACACGTAACATTTGATGTCAGAAACATTTTTATTATTTATGAACTGCTTCATTTTTCCTTGCTTGGCTGGATCACTGCATACCAACATACATTTTCTAAAGCATAATGTGAAAGCAGGTCTCAAAGACAAAAAGTCTACAGGTGCAAAGACAAAAATCTCTAGAGTGCCTTCTGGTCTAGGTCACATTACT